AGATTCATATATTATTGAACTTATTCTAACTAAATAAAGACAGGATTCCTATATTATTAAACTTACTTTAAACCTTGTTCTATATACGCAAGAACGAATAAACTTAGGAATAAATAAATAAATAAAATACGACGACTTATTTTTTAAAATTAGGCCCAATTTTTAGACCCATCCCCAGATTCAGGTCGGATCTACCATCAAGTCCTGGGTCGGGTTCGGGTCCATTGCCACCCCCTGGGTGGATCATGAGCACATTCCGATATAAATAATGTCTGAGTTGGTTTCACAAGATCTGCATCCAATATAATACAGCAAAATAACATGAGTTGGTATCACTAACTCTATTCCTTGTAACTTCCAACTAAAGACACGCAAGTAAGGATGCCAAATCTATTCCTTGTAATTTCCTACTAAAGACACAGAAGTAAGGTGCCAAATTCAGGAGTTATAATATGCTATTAAAAATCGCACTCCAAACTTTATGTTACTTAAATGACATGGAGTTAAATTAAAATAAGACGGTCTTTGAAATTGAAGCCCAGATAAGTTAAATCCACCACTAAACATTTGAAATATTAGGAAATACAAAGTGATGAACAAAGAAAAGAAAAGAAGAGAAAACAGTTGCTCCAAGTTTGACTAAGGCAAGAAGCATAGCAAAAAAATTTATCCTAAGATCATCCCATGGATAAAAAAAAGGATAAAAGAGGACATACATGCTTGAAAATAATATAAAATTCATACGTAACTTCAAAATTATTGGGTGGACCAGGTTATAGTTCACATGCACCAACAGTTGGGTGTGTGTTTTAATTTTTTTTTTATAGATTAGATAGTTACATTTTGAAAGTGTTAATTGGGGTGGTTAGCAGTAGGAATGGATACCATGACGTGGTAATTGGGTGGGTGTGGGGATGCTACCACCACGTACCCTGACCCCTTTCCTACTGTTGGTTGTATTGACTAGAAGAAGAAAAAACGACATTCTTGACCTATTTTCAATTTAAATGTGTTAAGGATGAAGTTTCTATAAGGCCTAATCTTTATGAAAATAAAATAAAACCTCACCTCAAATCGCACTTTCGAGAATAGAAATATTCATGATGGATCTAAAATCAATTTCCAACACCGACAATAAATTTTGAAATTAAAAAAATGGTACATATCTTATGGATCTATTAACACTTATTTTTAGGGTGAAATGGACCGTCTAGATAATTTATTATAACATACACTATATTTAGAGCCTTAAATCTAGTTTTTTTTTTTACAATTATAATGTTCAAGCCAAGATGATCGATGTAAAGGTTTTCCAAAGCTTGAATTATGAGATGAGGTTTTACTTATTTTTATAGGGCTGCAGCCCTATCAAATCATTTTCCTTTAAATGTACAATGCATAGATTTTCTTTTTTCTTTTTTTTAAGAGATGACCTCGTTAATTTGTGAATATTATCTTTGAACCCAAAATTTGTGGGGTCTGAGATCTCCATCCTTCTTTGAAAGCTCTAAAAACTGTTAAATCCCTAGTATTTGGGGTTGCTCATTGTAAATAACAGTCTGTCTCTCTATATTTTTTAAGCCCCATTGCAAATGGATGAGACATCTCCTGGGTGGGGCCCACATCTTTCACTCTGGCCACACGCAACGTGGTTTGACGGTGGAGATGCGTCTACAGCATGTAATACATGGTACACCGATTGCCCAGTATGATCATTCTTCGGATAAACTTGAAACTGGTGGTCCCTGGCGTTTTAGAAAGCACGAGGAAAGTTGAGAGGATTGGCATTATACTCATTGATTAGGACCACTTTGAAAGCCATACATAAAGTTCTAATTAGAAACTTCTGCTCTAATCTTTCCCTCTTTGATCATATATGGAACGATTGATTGTCTCTGTGTTGTGTGTCTTTCGTGGACCTTTCTCATGCATTTATTGAGGACCACCAAACCCCACATTATAGCAACCACAATAAAAATAAGTTTTTAGATAGAAAACAAGTACACCAATTTAGAATGCAGCAATTGTTACGATAATTCCACCAAGGTGATGCATCTTATTGGGTCCCCACATGAAATCATTTGCTTTTGCATTTATCTAAGGGTGCGGATTGTATAGAGTCTAGGCTCTAAACAATCAAATTAGAGCCTACCTTCAAATAGTGTGGAGAAATGTGGTTTCAATACTAGCAATCTTTGTGATGGCCTTCAAATATATTTTCGTCTTTATTTATAAGGTTTAAAACTTTAAAAACAGTATAGATCGATAGATCTATGAAAACTTTAAAATCTTGAACCTTGACGGTCAAAAAATACATTACAAAATACCCTATTTCCAAAACTTGAAATCCATTTTTTTTTCATGTCTATGCATCTTGATGTCGAGATGATCAATTTGACGATATTTGGGCATCAAAACAACCTCTTCTAGTGAAAATTTTGAGGTAGGCTCAAATTTGATTGTTTAGAGCCTCGGCTCTATATAAACTTTTCCCTTCATCTAAATATAATTTCAATGGAAGAGGTTGGTAGGGCTGTCGGTTCTTTTATAACATAGGGCTCTGGCTTCCTAAAGTCCCAGTTCAAATCTCTCGAGAAGCATATATTTGTGCCGGGGAAAAGTACAAAACTAATTGTTTCAGCCTTGACAACCACAGATTTGCAGAGAAAATGACTCTTAAGCCCTAAAAACAGTTTATTTTTGTAATACGTTATCAAGACCGTTCAATTTTAATTCTGATACGTCTACTTACAAACCATTTATGAAACTTCAAATTCCATAATTATATAGAAATAAATTTTTAGGTCAACTATTTGGGGACTTTGTGTCTATTCAATGATGCTCTTACGGCCACCCATTTTGAAATTTAAGGGACAATAATGACTATGAGCTCCATGTACAATAGATAAATGGTCTAGTTGTAGGCAATAATGACTCGTATGTGAATGGAAACCTTACATCTTTTAGGAATCAGGGTTAAAACTACCCTAAAAGAAGAAAAAAAACAAATAGAGGACCTTGAAAATTCTTTAGGTGTTTAATTTCTATTTTGTTTGGGTTGTATTGCTTGGGCGCCTTATAATAAGGAAAGTTAGAGTCACATGGCTCCTTTGTATCTCATTGATGGCCTTTTGCATCTGCTAGTTGTTGCCATTGATGATGGCAACTCCATATACTACGTTACTCATTTGATGACACCGGCAGGGTAAAATTTTTTGATGGTCCGCATTTACCTAACCTTTCTTGTTAATTTTAAGATTTGATTGTCATTTCAATTACAATCTCATATGTTTTATTTTAGGCGTAGCCGACTCCAAATAGTTGGTATAAGGCTTAAATGATGATGCTTCATTTTAGACGTCGAATAAAAAAAACAAAGAATGCCAAATTGTGTTCCTGTAGGATCATGTTGCATGTTTGCTCCTTCATGTTATTCTAAAGTTTTGGGATAGTTTGAGCACATTGGTATCTCCATTAAAAACATAAATTAGATATTGAGCTCCTAAACACTTCGACCAGACCACTAAAGAATAAGACAATCTCTATTCAATACGAGGAAATTGTTTTCAAGCACGTTTGTAGGGTTTTTTCTTAAGCTGGTCGTGACCCTGCGTATTCTTAGGCAGAGATCTTACCTGAGGAGGAGCATATAATGTTCAGGCTTATAAGATACACTAGTTTTTGGATTCACATGACAAAGAGAGAGAAAAACTCTCATGCCCTATATGGTAACTGATAAAACAAAAAAGCTTCATGTTTTTTTTTTTAGGAAAAGTTTATATAGAGCCGAGGTTCTAAACAATCAAATTTGAGCTTATCTAAAAACTTTCATTAGAATAGGTTGTTTTGATGCCCAAATGTCTTCAAATTGATCATCTTGACATCAAGATGCATGGACATGAGAAAAAAAAAGAGATTTCACGTTTTGAAAATAATATATTTTGTAATGCATTTTTGGACCATTAATTTTCAAGTTTTCATAGATATGTCGATCTACACTATTTTTTAAGCTTTAAAGTTTATAAATAAATGTGAAAATATATTTTAAAGCTATCACAAAAATTTTCAATAGTGAAACCACATTTCTCGCCAGTATTTGAAGGTAGACTCTAATTTGATTATTTAGAGCCTAGGCTCTATACAAACTGCACCCTTTCTTTTTTAGGGTAAAAACATGTTATCTCAGTTATCACATCACATTTTTAACTATTTGGAAATGGCAAAAGGAAAGCTTCTATGTTCCCCCTACAGCATAGAATTTATATCCTCCCTCTACCATCCAGCCGTTCATTTTTTATCAACAGAGCCACTCACCGTTTGATCTTAGGTCCGACATCTTAAAGTATTTTATTTTTAGTTTTTTTAATACAATTGTTCTAAAAATAAAATTTGGTATGTGTCATCTTCTCATTGAGGTACACCTATAAAAAATATTAACAATAATTTTTCAATAACAAATAATGACCAAAATACCCCTTAAAAATTTCAGGGGTGTTTTGGTCATTTTTATTGAAAATGTAGTTTTTATATCTTTCATTAGTGCAAGTTTAATAGAAGAATGGATGTCCAAAATTTGGTGGCAGAACAGTTTATAGAAAAAAAAAGATTAAAAATAAAATAGTGTAGAAATGTGACATTATGATTAAGACAATCTTAGCCCTCAATTAAAAAATGGACGTTTGGATAAGAAAGAAGATATAACTTCTATGTTGTAGGGGAAACATATAAAGCTTTCCTATGACAAAAAGCGTGAAAATACATTTCTCCACATTTTCACACTTTTTTCAATTTTGAAGAAAATTGTAGCGGGCTTCTAATTTCTTAGAAAAAGGGGAGAAAGTGAGACCCCCCTCATCTCCCTTTTATTCCTTCAACCTCTTGATCTCTCTACCCTCTCAATCTCTCTTTGCCCACGCTTTTTCTGATTTTCACAAACAAGTTACCAAAACAAGGATTATCAACTTCTAACACGAGTTTTCTATTTTTCTATTTTTCTCGAACTTCAATTTCTTATAGATTTTTTTTTTGACAAGTGTTATCAATTATTATTGTAAATCAACAAAGCAACAACATCAATCACTCATTACATCATTTAAAAATGCAAAGGACTCCATGGACACACCCCCTTTTTCAAGCCTGTCCGCCAAAACATTCGACTCCCTAAAAACATGCTGAAACGATAAGTGCAACTCTACTTCTAACTTCACCACTTGTACCCAAACAGAATGTAACAGCCAAGGAACACGCTGCTCCTTATTACACCTGCTCACATTTAGAGAATCTCCCTCCACGATGACTAGCAACCCCAAGTTTAGACCTTTTAAAAATAATCAAACCTCTGAGCAACGCAGTAAACTCGGCACAGTTGGCAATAGCAACCCTGATAGGACCAGCAAAGGCACATAGAATAGATCCCGACGAATCACGAATCGCTCCTCCAATCCTTGCAGAACCCGGGTTCCTTACAGAACTTCCATCAAAATTAAGCTTAAGGTAGCCCAAATTCGGAGGAATCCAATGATCCCCTGGCCTAGACTTGATTTTCTTGAAATACAGTGAGGATGCCAACTTATTTCGCACATCATACTGAGAAATACCTCTCCCTTCCTCTAACACAAACATCCAACACCAGCTCGTGTGCAAAATGCGTTGTAATACCCTACCACAAGATATACTCACACCCTCAAAAGCATGTCTATTTCGCTCTTTTTATGATTCCCAGCAATTCGCTCATTTGATAATATGCCAAAATCTAATCCCCAATTTAGGTAATCCCAAAAAGATAAGTTGAGAAATAACACCCAACATACTTTGTGGCATTACCACAGCCACCCCAACCATCCCAAAAAAGTAGCTCTAGATAAGAGAGGCAAAACGGCAATGAACAAGCAAATGTGAGATAGACTCTCCATCCTCCTTCACATAAGACACATTTGGCAAAATCTTCCCTCTCTTGATTAGGTTATCCACTATTAGGACTTTATTTTGGCCTGCCAACCACATAAAGCATTGCACTTTGTGAGGAATGGGCCACTTCCAAATTTGTGCTATCTGAAGTAAGGACCACCTAAAACGATCATGGAATAGCAGGGAATACATGCCTCTTACCAAAAACACCTCATCTTTACTGTGCTCCCAAATGGCCTCATCTTCAATGGAATTACACAACACCACCAACTGTAACTACTGCCAGAGACTTGCGATATCTGCAGCAAAACTTTCAGAAACTCTATTATAGGGAAACTGAATACACCAAGACACCTGCTCCCCCAAACTCTGATACAACTCCATTAGCATAGCATTATGTGAGGTAGTCTTAGCAAAGATATCAGGGAAAGACACCTTCAAAGGGATATCCCTTAGCCACTTATGGTGCCAAAAAGAAACCTTGGAACCATTCCCTACACACCATCTAATATCTCTCACAATATAGGACTTGCACAAGAAGATATCCTTCCAAAAACTCAATCTCAAAGCGCTTCCTCGACCACCTCCAATCCAAGTACCATTGCTAGCTCCACCACCAACTCATTGTTACAGTTCACACCCGCCATAGAAGTTTTGGCCACATTCACCTTTAAGCCTATACCCATCTCACATCACTTAAGAAATCTCCCAAGGAATTCGATATAGTCCTTTTTTGCCTCTGAAAAGATCATAGTATCATCCGCATACTGAAGATGGGAAATAGAGGGACCATCATAACCAACCTGAAACCCAACAAAGTGACCTCTATTAACTACATTAGATACCATTAAGCTGAAGCATTCCGCATAAATGGTAATAAAAAAAGGGACAACGGATCTCCTTGGTGGAGACCTCTTGACGACTTGAAAAAACCTCTAAGGCAACCATCAATAATAATCGAGAAATGTGCGGAGGAAAGATAACCATAGATCCACTTTCACCAATGCACACCAAACCCCATAGACCTAAGGATTTCCAGCAAGATGCTCCACTCTACTCTGTCATAAGCTTTCTAATAACCACCCTAGGCTCCTTGCTAAGACATCTCGAGTGTATACACTCTTAAGCAATTAACACACTATTCGTAATCAACCTATTATGAATGAAAGCACTTTGGGGCCCCATGATCACCTCTTTCAAGACCTTTTTCAACCGCAAAGCCAGCACCTTAGCCACAATCTTATACAAGCTAGTCAGTAAAGAAATGGGTCTAATATCTGTTAATTCCATAATAACAGATTTTTTCGGAATTAGGGCTATAAAAATTGCATTAACCCCTTTGAAAATTTCACCCCTAGCCAGAAAATCTTGAACCAACTCTAGCAGCTCCACCAACAACATTGACCAGAACCTATAGAAAAAGCATAAAGGAAAGCCGTCTGGACCTGAAGCCTTATCCCCTGCTAAAGAGAAAACAAGTACCTTTAGCTCTTCCATAGATACCTCAGCTTCCAATTGAGTTGCAAATACCTGAGAAAGAGCCTTGAAAGGAATACGAGCCATACATGGGGTAGCGTAAAGTTTTGACCAAAAGGCTTTACATATATGCTTAATAATCGCCAAGTTAAGACTGTCCACATCATCCCGTAAAATCCCTTGGATCATTAAACCTGAAAGATCATTCTGACGCCTACGGGCACTAGCAATAAAGTGGAAGAACTTGATATTTAAGTCTCCCTCCTTTAGTTATTTAACCTATGACCTCTGGCGCCAATAGATCTCCTCATTCATACGCAATTCAGATAATACATTAATCTTCACAAGTCATTCATTAGCAAGTGAAACAGAATAAACACCTCCACTTTGTATCTCCTGATCAAGCACCCTTATCTCTTCCAAGATACCATCAATTTTGAACTTCAATTGTTACTTATTTTCTTTCTTTCAGTCAATCAGTTTGTGTTTCATATATAATAACTGAAAATCCAAAGACCCAAAGGTAATCTCACCTTCCCAAGCTTTTCTAATGAGATCCACAACTCCTGTGTCATTTAGCCCTATCTCTAACCTGAAAGGCTTAGGTCCTCTCAAGCTAGTCACAGAACGAAAAAGGATTGGCATGTGGTCTGAAGATAGCCTAGGCAAGGCTAATACAAAGGCTAAAGGAAACCTTTCCAAGAAGTCATTAGAGACCAAAAACCTATCAATTTTGGTCATGATAAGATTTGTTGGGCGTTTATTGGTCCAAGTAAAAACAGCACCTAATAAGGGTAAATCCACAAGACTAAAATTTTGAATAAAACAGTTAAAGAGTCTCATCGATGAATTAATCCGACCACCTGAAGAAGACTCCTCAGGCCATCAAGTTTGATTGAAATCCCCCCCCCCCCCCCACCCACACACACAAACCGGCACACAAAATAGCCAACCATCTATCCCCTTTAAGAACATCAAAACTATGTAGAATCTGCCGATTCGACAAAACCCAAAGCCCACCCAAGGCCCCCCCTTCAAAACAAATTGCACCAGAACCCCAAACTTCCCTAGCACCTTACACAGTTGGACTAGGAAGTTTGGTTTCCTGCAGATTAAGGACATTCGGTTTGTATTTCCTAACCAAAAATAAAACATCTTTTTTCCTACTCCCATCCCCTAAACCCCTAACATTCCAATTTAAAATTGACATCAGTAATGGTTTGAAGAAGAGCCTGGGCCCTCACCACAAAGCCCTTGATTATGCTTCTCTGGAACAACAACATCCTCATCATCCTAAGAAGTCGACTCACCAAAACTGTCAAGGATAGGATCTTCAGCGTTCAACTCCCTAATTACTACTGCATTCCTCGACCTCATTCTAGTATTGTATCTTGAAGCGCCTGCGGACTGCTTAAAATTCGATTTAAGCTCCATCATCTTCTTCCCTTTGTGACTGCAAGGCTCCGGGGTCTTCACAGAGGGCTGAACAAAAGTAGATTACTTTCCAATTCTCTACGTCTTCCCAACAGATTGAGGTCTAGGGACAACGCTCTCTGCCTGATTGGAGCTCTGCTTTTCCGCATCCGCAATCGCCTTCTTCTTCTCTTTGATGGCCTGGTACACCACAGAAATCGGGACCTCATAGTCCAGACCCATGTTGTCAAGGACCACCCGATAGATGTCCTCCTCATCCTCACTGTCCACCACCCTCTCACTGACCTTAACCTTGGACATAGTCAGGTCAATCGACTCCTGCAAGTTCTCAGACGTGCCCTCAGAGACCACCAGCTCTGTGCTCTCGAAACCCAGCAAAGAAAGTTCGACAATGAGATTGGCATTCGCTGTAACCACTAACGCGAAGTTAGGTTCACTGCACTCCTGCACATTGGCGACACTAGAACCCCCTTCCATGAACCCAACCTGCATTGTCGAGAGGTCCATCTCAACATCATAAGTAGGCATACAGGACTCCTCCCCAATGGCCACAACAGGATCCCCTGCCACAGCCCCTCCCTACAAAGCCAAAATGTCCTTCACTTCATCAAAATGTTCTTCAATCAACATCGAATGTTCTTCAACGAACAGAGGGTCGAAACGACACCTTTCCTCAGGAGGGATCATCTTCTTAGCACTAGCCCTGCTAGGAGAGACCTCAAACCATCGGCCATTAGCAGAGCACAAAAGAGAAGACCTGCTAATTGTTTAGAAGCCGCCTCCAGCAAAGAACCCAGCACCGTCTTTTGAACACATTCCTTTTCAGGCATTCGTAATCAATTTTTTGAAATTTGAATTCCCTGCCCCACAGAAATCCGGCGGCCCCAGAAATTTCGATCAGTCCCTGCTGGAAGAAGCTTCAAACGCCTCCCATGCACCTTCGTCCATCCCTCCCCAAGAAACTTCTCCTGAGTAAGATGGGACTTCTCCTGAGAATGATGGACCCTACTCGACTCTATAAGTGTATTGTTCTCAATCCATACATCAATTAAGAAAAGATCTTGACCCACCTGCAGATGAACTTGTCTTGCGCAAGGGACTTTCACCAAACGGAAAATTTGCACTCTAACAAAAGACACAAAGGGTCCCCTTAAAAGTTTATTATCAACAGCACGGAGCACTCCAAAGGAACTGACGACATCCTAAAAAACAGACCTATTCCATACATGTAAAGATATACCCCACAGGCGAACCCAGATTAACTTCACCTTCCTTTTCACGAACATTGAAGGATTCCATTCCAACAAGGTCATCAACGATCCACGAAGCCTATAAAAACATACCTTCCATGCTCAGGCAACCTCTTCATTAGACCTTAACACAAAAGCAACCCTACTCTTTCCTAATGAGAAAACATCAGGCGAGTTCGACAAACCCCAGCCACGTTGCTCCCAATCGTCCAGACCAAAAGTATCAACTAGTGGTAGGCAGAAAGAACCAACAATGATTTTCCTCGCCTTCTCTTCATGAGCCTTTAGATTACCAATCGAAATCTTCAAAACATCCGAAGAATGACCTACTTCCTGCATCCTACCCCCTCCATCCAGAGAAGGCCTATACATATTGCATACAAAATATTCAACCGTTCGATATTCACAAGCCTATCCTTCTTTACATGTTTCTTATAGATTATCCACACAAAAAAAACAACTTAGTTATAAACAAGGGCCTTAGAGAGAATTATAGCACAGTGACATTAGCATGGCATCACTTATGCCATAAACATATAATATTATTTCCCCCATTAAAAACGAACTTAAAATGGGC